TTCTGCAATTTCTGCATTCCTCCAGTTTTGGCATTTTGCACCTGACTGATTTTAATCGCTCCACCATCGGTGGCCGTGCCTTCAGCTGCCTGGGTCCCAAGCTCTGGAGTTCTCTCCCTTAACTCTCTGTGTCTCTCTGTATTTCAGCTTGTTCCTTTAAAAACTACCTCATTCATTAACTAGGACTGCATCATGGAATATTTTGCTCCAAGCAGAAATGTTAAAAACCAAAACAAACAAAAACAAAACCTTAAAACCCCAAAGCAAGCCAAACTCCAAACCATAAAAACTGAACCCAAACTCCAAACTAAACTGAGCCCCACCAGTAAACTGAACACAGCTCCGAGAGTTTGTGAAATGACTTGATGCATTCCGGAGTGGGAGGACAGGAGATGGAAATTACAGGAGGCTGAAGACTGGAGGTTGAAAGGGTTAATGAGGCTTCTTCTGAATGCAGGAGACTGGAGAAGTCCCACTCACTGCCTAATATCATCTCACTGCCCTATCCATCAGAAAGTAACAGTTCCAGCAGCACCTCCACTAATCCCATCTGGAACCCCCTCTCCAACTCTGGTTCCTGACACCTTCTCCCCTTTCAGTTGCCATGGATACAGCTAAAAGCCATGAAGCTCTGACGTCAGCACCAGGGTTTAATTTTCCCACATCCTGAGTAAACACTGTCACACTGTTGCTCTCACTCCTGTACAAACAAGCAGAGTAACGTATTCGGTTACTACGGGGACAGTAGGATCTTTTTTCCCAGCAATTTGTTTTTCTCTCTCCCGTGGGATATGGGCATTACAACCAAGGCTGGCATTTGTTGCCCATTCCGAATTGCCATTAAACTTTCAGAGGGCAATTCAGTTAACCATCTGGCTATGAGCCTGGAGTCACATGTAGGCCACAGCATAGACCAGGGGGTAAGGACAGTAGGTTTCCTTCCCTAACGGTGAACCAGAAGGCTCTTTACACCAGTCAGTGACAGATTCACAGTCACCATCACAGAAACTTTAATTTCCAGATTTATTCATTTTCATTCCACCAATTGCTGTGATGGGGTTCAAACCATATCCCCAGTGCATTCGCCTAGACCTCTTGATTAGTTGTCCTCTCGCATTACTATGGTGGTGTGGAAAACTCCCAAATCCATTACGTGTCCCTGGTTTCTCCTTCCTGATTAAGATCCAATTTTTCTGTCTAATTCCCAACAATCATCCTGGCCTGATTTGACACTGAAACATATAAAGAATTTGAAAGGAGCAGATTTTAAGAAGCGCCTTGTGGGAGCAGGGAGAGGTTGAGAGATGGAAAGGTTTAGGGAGGGAATTCTAGGTGGCTGAAGGCAGGGCTGCCAATGAGAGAGCAATGTAAATGAGGGATGCTGAAGCGCTGGAGAAGCACAAAGCCTGTTACAATAATAATGGTAAGGGCTTGGTACCAGGGCTTTTCAGGAGTCTGTGGTGAAGGATGGACTGTAACAAGATCCGGCTTATTACTTCTCTGTAACTATATATGGGTGACAGGATTGTAATATGAGGAGATTGAGACATGACTCACTCCATCTAAACTGACCCCAATCACACAAAGCTCTACACAGTGGGCTGTGTTCTCAAGTAGAATGGGTGGAGCTTCAACTTAGCCCATAGATTAACCCTTTCATATCTATCACCTTGTACAACAGAGAGCTATGAGGATTGTTGAGCCAGCAAACGTTTTGGAGGTACAGGAAGGGGCATAAGCATGGAGGTATTTGAAAAGAAGGATTAAAAATTTCTACTCTTATGGTAAGGCCTCCATCCAGTCTGCCAGTCAAACAGAAATCTACAACATTGACCTTCTGATTAATTCTAGCCAATGCAGTCCAAAACTGTGGTTACTGAACGACCACTATTGATGTAAACATTTCCCACAGAGATTCTCTCCATGGCTGACTTACCCTAACCTTTCTCCATCCAGCCCTATGGTGGCCCAGCAGTGCATGTTGCAAAGATTGATGGAGGGACAACCTTATGAGGAGAGGTTGAGTAGATTGGGCTCATATTCATTGGGGTTGAGAAGAACGAGAGGCAACCTTATTGAAACAGACAAAATTCTTTAGGGGGCTTGACAGAGAAGATGCAGAGAGGCTGTTTTTCCTTGTGGAAGAGTCTAGGTCCAGGGGGCATCATCTCAGAAAAAGGGGCCACATATTTAAGACAGAGATGAGGAGGAATTTATTCTCTTACAGGGTAGTGAATCTGTGGAATTCTTTATTGGAAAGGGCTTATGAGGCTGGAACGTTAAGGATGTTCAAGGCAGAGATGGACAGATTTTTAATCAGGAAGGGAATCAAGGGGATTACAGGAAAAAGGCAGGAAAGTGGAGTTGACAATTATGAGATCAGCCATGATCTCGTGAATGGCAGAGCAGGCTCAAGGGGCTGAATGGCCTACTTTAACAGCCTTATGACTCTCTTTGAAAATCTCAGAATGTAACCACCATGTCTTGCTTTTAGTGACATAAATGAAAATCCAAAACTATTTGTTTGCAAATTAAGATCCCTGGTCACAACAACAATAACAGCAATTTTTATCTATATATTCTCTCCTAGGTAATAAAAGAGCCAAAGGTGCTTCACTATCAAACAATGGATGGAATTTAATGCCCCCCCACAAGGTGAATGTTGTGGTTTGATTTAATTGGGCTGGGTCTGTTGCTGGTGTTGACCAGGACATAAAGACTTGGAGCTGCCTTCCAGCCCAATGGCAATCGAAGCTCTCAGTCTGCACTGAAATATCCTCTCAAACATCCTATCTTGATATTGGCCACTGGTATCAACCAAAGCATGGAGGGGGTCTTGCAGTGCAGGGTAGTGTCCCTACCTCTGGAAAAGGAGGCTCAGATTCAATTCCCAGCTGTTCCAGAGATGTGTAATAAAATCTCTGAACCAGTTGATTAGAAAATATCAAGCAAAGCTTGTGATGAATTTCCAACCGGGAGGACTGAAAAGCAAACAAATGGGTTGTCAGATTTAGGGAGAATTCAGAGAGGGACTAGACTATCCATGCTCCTATCGATGTGTGTGGGAAGCATTCGAGACGGTGGCTTTATGGGTAGCAGTATAGACCAGGTTTGTACTAGGCAGAGTTCCGGATCAGTCCTCTGTTTAAGGGTGGGGAATTGTAAGTGCTGTTTTGGGACAGCATTGGAGAAATGTGAGGTGAGAAAAAAAATTTTCAGAGAGTGGTTTGGGCCTGGAAGTGTAGTGGAGGCAGAGCCGATCGAAGCATTCAAGTGGGCATTAGAACTGCATTTAAATACAAATTGTGCACAGGCCTGTGGGGAAAAGGCAGAGGAGTTTGGCAAGTAAAAACACACAGGGCCAGTGCACACACAATGGGCCAAATGGCCTTCTCCTGCACAGTAACAATTCTGACGTTGAGTGAGGCGACAATTTCAGCAAACAATGGTATGGACTGGAATAACTGCATAGAACATAGCCCAGGATTAAGCAGACATTAAGATAATGCACTGTAAGGTGGTGCAGGTTAAAGAAATCAATCTGCAATGGAGGGAGTCAATCAAATCCTTCAATCATTAAAAGAAAACTAAATGTGAATACTTAATTAGAAATGGAGGATTTATTGATATTGGTTAAGTTCAATTAGTATGAAGTATTTGTGCCTCTAGATTGTAAGTCCCCAGGAGATGTTACAGACAGTAACTCTCATCGACTGTGAGAGATTCAATAAATGCACAAAAGCACCAAGTGATGATTTAGGAGACAGGGATGAATTTCTCAGGAGATTTAATAAATTTGGTGAAAGCACATCCACCTGATGTCAACATTCATGATCATTAGGAACCAGAATTTGGAGAAACTGGTGATAAAGGAGTTTGGGAATAGGTTATAAGAACTATTTGTTCACCTAGTGGGCAAACACCAACACAGGTTGGATGGAATGAATTGTCTGTTTCTGTCCATCAATGTACATGGGAGGAAACCCATGCAGACGTGGGGAGAATATGCAAACTCCAAACAGACAATCATCCAAAGCTGGGATTGAACCTGGGTCCCTGGTGCTATGAGGCAACAGTGCTAACCGTTCAGAGTCCTGAATTGGACATTGTAAGTACAGATATCTCACCAAGAGGAAAGAGTTTAATGTAAGGAAAAACAGTATTGAGCAAAGTGACAAAATGCTCTTGTTTTATTATCTTGAAGCTACTCCTGTCTTTGGACAACTTTATACAACTGGGTAAGCTGTTGAAAATCTTCAGAGGGCAGTCAAAACACAACCACTTCAAATTTATAACAAGGAAACCGGTGATTCTGTCCAGCTGGTTCATGCTGGTGTTTATGGCCTACATGAGCTTCCTCCCTCTCCCCTTCACCTCAGGCTATCAGCAGATCCTCCTTTTTCCTTTTGCTCCATGTGTTTATTCAGTTTCCACTTATCTGTATCTATGTATAGCCCGACTATATATAGGTCCAGACTTGGTAAGGACTGCAGCTTTCCTTCCCAAAAGGACATTAATCAACCGGTAGTGTTTTTACTGTCAATCTAACAGTTTAGTTGGTGTCTTTACTGGTGCCAAGATTTTATGTCAAGATTTTTGTTAAGTTTGTATCTCTCAAACTGCCACTTGAACTCCCATGGCCTGGACGATTACACACGCCTAATTACTGGTTTAGTAATAGGCCTACTGCACTGAAATATCTGAATGCAAGCCTTCAACTCACTGGGCACATTACATCCTATACAAAATGTACAGACACAGGATCAGGCCATTAGGTTCAACTAGTCCATGCTGGTGTCTATGCTACACATGGTTAGAACGGCTGCATAGTGGTTATGTTATAGGACTCTGAATGCGCACGTCTGGACAAATGATCCGTGGATATAAATTCACAAATCTTAGTGGTATTGGGGCATTTAGATCAAATGATGAACACAAAACGCCTCAATAGAATGGTAACTGTGAAACTATTGGATTGTCACCGGGTTCATGGATGATCTCTATCGAAGGAAATCTGCCATCTCTTCCCAGTCAGGCTGGTAGATGACTCCGAAGCCACCCACCATGTCTGACACTGAAACAGCCGAGCAAGTCATATTCAGGTGTCCACCTTGTAAAATAGCAACTAGGAATAGCCAAAAAGGGCTAACCTTGCCACTGATGACTAGGTCCCATTTATGAATTTTTGAAAAAAAGCATACCTCATCTCAACCAGTCAGGTGCACACACTAATCTATTGAATAAAGACAGAGGCTTATGCTCAACCTGTCTCCAGATGCCTCCATCCATTAACCTATCCAGAGTGTGTCAGGGTGATACACCGCGAGGTTAAGCAGAGGAGCCCCATACCTGGCGAATGGCAGTAGGACACTGGAGCGTTTCGGTTCCCAGACATCATGCTCTTCATTCTGGATGCCTCGGCTGGATGGTTAAAACGGAAGAATGTTGACTGGCCAAAGCATAGCATACACCCTGATAAACAGGAAGAGAGAGACAGCAAAGTCAATGCCAGATAAAAAACAAAATAACTGCAGATGCTGTAAATCAGAGACGAAAATAGAAATTGCTGGAAAAGCTCAGCAGGTCTGGCAGCATCTGCGGAGAGAAATCAGAGTTAACGTTTCGGGTCGAGTGATCCTGAGTTGTGAGGAAGGGTCACTCGACCTGAAACGTTATTTCTCATTTCTCTTCACAGACGCTGCCAGACCTGCTGAGCTTTTCCAGCAA